TGGTCAGTGTTTCTGGGGTAATTGTGGATTAAGACCTACCTCTTTGACATTGGTCAGTGTTTCTGGGGTAATTGTGAAGTTAACTGGCTTTAGTTTGGGTTTATCCTCTTGATTCTGAAATTGGAACATTTGTAAAATTACAGAATGAATACTAGAAGCGTGTCATATGTTAAACTCCTGAAATGTCAAAAATCAATTTTTTTAATTTTTAAACTACAAAATTAACAAGTTTTCATTGTAAAGGGGACGGTTATCAAATTCCCCCAAAATGCCATTGAAGTCACAAATGATGCATTTGAAAGAATATTGACATTGTCATAATACCATTACATACTAAGTTAGAGCAAAATCAGGAAAAGACAGGGACTGTTGGCATCACCTTGGCGTACACCCATAAATGTATTAAATGTATTAAAATAGTTTCTGAGAAAATCTCTGAAACCTCTGTAAACTATTTGGCTGAAGCAGAGGAAGAAGGAATAATAATAATGATAAGAAGAAGAAGAAGAAGAAGAAGAAGAAGAAGAAGAAGAAGAAGAAGACATGCAGCAAAAGCCATGTCCCCCGCTTTGCTTCGGGGACTTAATATTAATAGGAAACAAAGCAAAATCAATAAATATTAATTAACAAACAAACAATAATTATCAAAAAATATCAAAAAAATAATTTATCATCAAGAAATGTTAAGCAAGATAATGCGCTATTATTCACATAACATGTTACAATCTTTTCAGCAAAGGCTTATGAAGTTGAAAGAACAAATCTTTGGTGTCATATTGTAAACCTCCTATATATGGTAATTAAATGATATGAAAATTCTTGAAATTCTATCGATTTCTTCAGAATCATAACATTTCAAAAAGACCTGATTTTATTTTTTTATAAAACTAAATTTAAAAATAAAATGTTTGTACTGTAGCTGTAGTAAATACATTATCATGCCTGTCTCAACTGGACCCTGGACAATAAAACCTGTACTAAATAAACTCTACACATTAAGATTTAACTCATTCACCCCTGAAGTTTCATACTGAACTATTCCAACCTTTGAATTGGAAGAGTTCAAATGTGTCTTCAGGGGTGAATGAGTTGATACTTCTTTTCTGAGATACACGTTTCCGGAACAAAAGTCACATTATTTGGTGGTCATAGGGGATATTTAGGGGGCATGTATACTTCCAATATAAAAGTAAATCATTAAGGCAACTTTGTTGCAGTACAAGATTGGTAGATTTTTTATGGAAATGACTGAAATATCACACCCTCCATGAAAGGAATATACTGCATCGTACCCGCTCTGACATCTGATGTGTTGTCGGTAACCATGCACAAGCGTTTTTGCATTTTGATTTAACTGCTTTAAGATTATCGCCGTTTACCGGAAGCATGTATGCCTGCCTATCACATGACATGCATCATCTAAAACCAAGTTAAACCCGGACAAAAAATTATCTCAATACAATGTATTGCCAACACATGACAGTGCTAAGATGTTCAAAGTACGAACACCTTAATGACAACTTCCCACGAAATTTTAAGGGATACATTTTAAAAAAAAAAAAAAAAAAACATTGTATGTATATATATGCATTTGAAATAGTCCTCCCTTTTCATCAATTTATAACGGAAACAAGAAATTCAGCTTGAGCTAAAAATCCATGCTTGAGCATGAAAATGGTTTCATGGATACGGGCCTGGATCTCTATGAACAAGAATGAATACAAATTCTGTGTTTACCTTGTACTCCACGATAAATTCACACTGTTTTTGTAAATCCTTGTTGAGCAGTGATCTCTTCATATCAACCTTGAGTGTGTACTGAAATGAAAGAAACAATTACTTACATTTTATATATAATAAACAAAACTAGTTCTGAATATTGTATTTGCAATAATAAGTGCCCCTCCCCCTTTTTTATCATTCTTTCCCAAACACCCACCATGCTGGCCCTCTGGTAAACCAAATATTAGTGATACATGTATAAACAGTGTATTCAGACACTGTTTTCTTGCAATCAAAGATTGTTTTCTAGTGTTTTGGAACTATGTACTTTACTCTTGTTTGTACGCTTATATTAAAGAGAAATAATCTCAGCTAAAAAATCTACGTTGATCGCTTGACCATGGGTAAGATCATCCTCAATACTCCAGGAGTTACGCTCACTTTCGCTCTCTGCACCCCAGGATTATGTCATGGAAAAATCGAAGGCTGAGTATAAACCACCTTGTGGAAGATAAGTTTAATCCTTTGATGTATGTCATAACCATAAAAATTTGGTTGTCATTCCTCTTTAATCTTCAAAGAACAGGTATCAGCTTCGCAATTTATCATTTTTTTTCACCCAAGACCAATCAAATGCCTAGTCGCTATTTTGCTATGACATAATTTCATGGGTACAGAGAGCAAAATTGAACATAACCCCTGGAGTATCGAGGATGAGGTCAAATTATACTACTCTGAACAGGTATTAATTGAAATTTACCTGTTTCAAATACATTTAACCTCTGTCATATATAGGTTTAATACTGAATCCAAAACTCATCAACCGTAATAAGTTGTGAATGGAATATTAATTGCTTTACTCATACAGACCCTTCATGTTTTTATTTTCCATATCATACCATACCTGTATGTTAACAAAAACGCCGTGGTAAGTTTCATACAGGGTCTTATTTCCTTTTGGTTTCAGTGGTATCTCAAAGGGGATTTCTGTTTTTCCTGACGGTAGACGACCAGGCTTGGCGATCTCTAGTGTGTAGTTCACCAACTGGATTGGCTGAAATTTTAAGCAAGAAAAATGATAAACAATGTCATCGTTACAATTTTGTCGATGTTGATTATCATTTATTCATCAGACACAAGTTTGATTTGTCCTATAACTTGAGAAATTATAATGATCTACCATATATTATTGTTTCTAATGAACTTTTCCAACCTGAAGAATGCGTTTCAATATTTTATATTACCATTTCCATTGAATAATCTTAGATAAACCTACCCACCAAAAATGTTGTTATAATCCAATATATTATCCAATCAGAAACATGTACAGTTTGTCTTTTCGTCAAAATGTTTGAATATTCAGGAGTCAATCATGATGTGACGTCAAATTCAAATTATTACAGAAATTCTCCAATAGTTTTCGATTGAAGTTTATCACCTGACGGAATTTGGTAACCATAGCAACCATGATCATGTAACGACAAAAATGGCTGATCCGCCATTTTGTTAAACATTCTGTTTAAAATATATTTTGAAATGAATATAGAACACAAAGCATGATAGAAAACTATTGCTTCTGTTGTTTTAAATGTAAATATAAGGATTGCAATGCATATTTTTAACATTTATAATAGTACTCAACACAACTCTGTGTTGAATTACCATCAAAAACATAAAATAGATGCATTTTAAACCTTAAATAGAAAACGTTTGACATATTATTGACCTTTTGTCACCCTTACTACCTATATATCTAGCTATTGTATTACGAAATAAAAGTATCTATTTCTATTTTGTCTTTAATGTTTATTGTTACAGTAATTCTGCCATCAAAAAGAATTGTACCTTAAGGGAGTTGTAGAATGCTTCAAACAGGCCGACACTTTTGGCGCTGAGCTGTAGCGTGACCGCTCCCTCCATTGTAAGGACAATGCCTTGGTGTTGTAAATCGCCTTTACTCTCCACCACCACCACCCCGGACACCAAGTCCTGAAAACAGAATAGTAGGTGTCTAAATATATACCCACATATATACACAACCCTGGACACCAAGTCCTGAAAAAGATTGGGAAATGTTCACCACAGTTTAACGTTTCACCATTTTTGCCCTCTTTACAGTGATATAGTACGCGTCATACAATAATAGTAAGAAAGAGGTGCATGTGAAGGGCGAAAGAAGGGCGGTATACAATACATACACATGGTCAGATATATATGTGTAATGTATATACTATGTTGAAACAAAGAACTTCCATATCATAGTAGATACATACAGTAGGATACAATTGGATAAATAATGGATGCAGGCAGGCACCCTGCCTCTATATCCATATGTTAATATATCTTAAATGCATTTAGAAAATATTATTCATTAATTATCATTTCCTGAGATAACTTTATGGCCGGCCAAATGATTGTATTTCAGTTCAAGATTTTTCCAATGAATATCAAGATTAATTTCAAAGTCCTTAATCAATGGCGATGTAACAAACATATTTCGGGAGACTGTTCCAGATTTCGGCAACCATAATTAAAGCTAAATGAATATTTACGAATCATGCTTGCAATGATCATTATTTTAAAAATATTTATGTGTCGCCTCTCAATCTCCGGTATGCCAGGGTTGGAATACCGATCCTTTTCAAGGATACATGAACATGTATATGTGACCAGATTTTGGTAAATGTGATGAAACGAATCATACAGGTCCTGTATCATGGAATAAACTTTTAACTAATAGTTGACCAGATTTTAATCAAAAATCAAACTAAACATCAACTAGAAATGTGTTTTTTGATGCAAGAAAGTTAAATGGGGTCGATTTTTGACATCTATCATCATTGGGGGAAGCATATTTCCCGAAAGTTTATTTGAATAGTTAAAACTTGTAAAATTTCACTGAACATCTTAGTTTAGGTCCAAATATTGCTCTATCAAATTATTACGTCCATGTGGTCGATACGGACCGGGGACATAGCATTTAGTCTTCTTTGAATATGTGTTTTATAGTGACAGCGCCATAGAGTGGAGTATTATATATAAATGATTATGCAACAAAGCATTTGGCTTTCACAAAAACGACATGACATAACTTTAGTCTGTTGNGTTGAATCTGCAGAGGGGTGTGAACCAAGAATTCATTATGCCAACGTCATGACACAGGCCCTATTGCGAATCAATCATAATACGACAGCTTTCTTAGAAGGAACACTTGGCTAAGTAATTAGTCTAGGCATAATATATGTCCATCTTACCCCCTCCTTATAAACTTTGTTGATTTTCTTCAATCGTAAGTCTAACGCCATTTTGACAGGTCATGTGACATATGTACAAAACTAATCGCTTACACCATTAGAAACTAAATATCTTTTGTGATTTTTACCTATAAAACACACGGAATATTAAGTTACATTGTATTTTACTTTTTGGATAATATTTCTTTTCATATTTGACGATGAAAGTAACAATATGTTATCAATTTTAAATGATGTATGAGGCTCGTGGTTATTTTCATCACCTCTGTTTCGTATAATTGTTTCTTTAGATTTTCCTTAAAAAGCTGCAATATTGATGTTACTATTAGGACACAATAACATAATAATTTATCGTTGATTGAAAACACCAGCTAAAATGATAAAACTAGGGCCTAACTATATAAACTATTTTTAATCTTAGGGAGGTTAAAGTAACAGCCGTTACTAATATACGTCGCTAAGGATTTTTCGCCGGTGGTTACGAGTACCTGGCTTTCTGTGTGCATAATATCCTATTATGTACATATGTCGGGCGATTGTTTACAGATAAGACGACATCAAGATTTTTAAATTGATCTTTAGAAAGTATGTAGTGGTCTTATACTACTTACGCCGGAATAACATCGTAGATTAGATGATAATTGATAACTAATTAGCACGCGCCAAAATTAAGATTTAATTCGACAGCCATGGATGTGCAGCAGATTTTAGCTGAGCATTTTCCTGATGATGTTTCTGTCAATGACCTCTGTGACTGTGGGTAAGTAAGACAAATTTGTATGTATGTTATAGCATAGGAAAGCTGTGACATTTCGACTCTTGTACGTTTATATGTGTGCTGTGCAAGGGCATGATATTGTAGGGGTGAGGAGAAAGA